TACCCGCTCCCCCTCCCTCCCCAAAGGTCAGCAGTCTCTGGTCATCCCCTTCACTGTCTGCAGTCTCTGGTCATTCCCTGCACTGTCCGCAGTCTCTGGTCATCCCCTGTACTGTCCGCAGTCTCTGGTCATTCCCTGTACTGTCCGCAGTCTCTGGTCATCCCCTGTACTGTCCGCAGTCTCTGGTCATTCCCTGTACTGTCCGCAGTCTCTGGTCATTCCCTGCACTGTCCGCAGTCTCTGGTCATTCCCTGCACTGTCCGCAGTCTCTGGTCATTCCCTGCACTGTCCGCAGTCTCTGGTCATTCCCTGCACTGTCCGCAGTCTCTGGTCATTCCCTGCACTGTCCGCAGTCTCTGGTCATCCCCTGCACTGTCCGCAGTCTCTGGTCATTCCCTGCACTGTGTCCGCAGTCTCTGGTCATCTCCTGCACTGTGTCCGCAGTCTCTGGTCATCTCCTGTACTGTGTCCGCAGTCCCTGGTCATCTCCTGTACTGTGTCCGCAGTCTCTGGTCATCTCCTGTACTGTGTCCGCAGTCTCTGGTCATCTCCTGTACTGTTTCTGCAGTCTCTGGTCATCTCCTGTACTATGTCCGCAGTCTCTTGGTCATCCCCTGTACTTTGTCCGCAGTCTCTGGTCATCTCCTGTACTATGTCTGCAGTCTCTGGTCATCTCCTGTACTGTCCGCAGTCTCTGGTCATCCCCTGTACTATGTCTGCAGTCTCTTGTCATCTCCTGTACTGTGTCCGCAGTCTCTGGTCATCCCCTGTACTATGTCTGCAGTCCATTGGTTCAGAATATTTTTTTTTCTTGTTTTTCACCTCTAAAACCTAGGTGCGTCTTATGGTCAGGTGCGTCTTATGGAGCGAAAAATACGGTATATTCTCTTAGTAAATTGAATGACTTTTCCAATTACATTAGGAACAATTTATACAATTATGTTACAAGGTTTAATCAAATCTGTAAATAACATTAATGTTACAGTTTTCATTTCCACTAGTATAGTACAATGTTTAATGTATATACTCACTTTTTTATCTGCTATAGAAATAAAGTAGAAGAGAAGAGGAATGATGAAATCTCACATTTCACTTCAAGAGTCTAATTATGCCTGATTCTAACATTAAACTTGCCCCCCCCCCCATCTTTTTTTGAATGGTTATTTTCTAACTTCATCTGACATAACACTAACTAGGACTATGATTACCCTCAGGGCAGAAAATGTGCTTCAACACCGCTAAAGCAACCCATGATATTTTTAATTAGATGTCCCATGGATGGCTGAAGGGGACAACATCATGGTTTTGATTTCAATGGATCTTGAAGAAAAATGTGTTTATAAAAAAAAGTACCTTTATTTGCATATGTCTATGGAGGGCATTCCATTTAATGTAGGATTTGATTCACCAGGGGAACTCTGATGGTAACGTTCGCTCATCAGAAATATTACAATTTTACCTAGTTCAGAGAAATGTTAGCTGTCTTGATCTTAAAAGTGATGATCAACTCTCAAGAACACTGATTAAGATATTTAAATATAAGAGTTAATTTATACTACTTTAGTGCATTGATTCTGTCTTCACACTGACAATATTCTCTTTTCTCAGCTATAAAGTTAGCTTTTTAATCAGCTCAAGTGGGGTCACTGAGGATGTATGTCTTTGTTATCCAGTAGAGCGCTCACACTATGCTCAATTACTATATAAAGTGGTCTTTCCAATGAGTGTTAAATATGTCTGAAAGCCTGTACTAATTAGGTATTTCTTTTGTATTGTGCTAGCACGCTGGTACATTGGCTATTAGGTAGAAGAAAAAATGATATTTTACAAATATTTTGCAAAATGTTAAGGGCAAGTTAATTGATGGCACATGCATATTAATTTCCTATGAATTTTCTTAGCAATGACCTTAAAAACCTTACCAGTTATCATTTGCTGTATATTTATTTCACAATGTACATATCTTAGCACGCTTATTAGAGACCCTAGTTCAGTCTAGTTAACCATTTATGTGCTACTGCATGTGTGTAGTGGTCATCTTCCAGTATATTAGTAGTAGTGGTCACCATCCGGTATATTGGTAGGTGAACCTGTTTATTGCAATACAGTTCATATGCAGCTCCAGTTATTTCAGTTAACCCTGTCTGTTTTGCCTCAAAACAAAGTGTTTTTAACACTACTACAATCGCTCAATAATACACTGATTAGGTTTAATAAATATTACAGCAAAACATGATTTATTGAATAAGTTCTGTTAGTATAATAACATAAGAATTGTCAGAATTGCAAATCATATTTAGATCATATTATAGCAAGAATACAGCATCAATACATCACCGGATATTGTAGCATCACCCGTTGACCAACGATTGGGGGACTCAGCAATCAGCAAAGGGGAAATCCGGGAAATCATTGCAAGGCACGTCTGCCGCATCTTCAATGAGTCCCGAATTCCCCTGGAATCCCCCGTCTTTTATATACATAATTTGCAGTGTCCTTGTCTACTGCCATGCGCAGTAGATTTTGTTTGTGTAACTATTGTGACTATTAACCTTGACTTGTTTGACTATATATCTCGTAACTATAAATCCTTGACTGATTGTGACTGCACATCTGGTAACTATGAATCATAGTTCTAGCCTTGATAGATTTTAACAATGTCCTTGTCTTATTATTCTAAACTCTAGTTACCCCTCCACTGATATATCCTACTAAAATTATGGCAATTGAGTGTCAATCATCCTTCACACATACATTCTATACACCCATGTCACTGTAAAGGTCCTACCTTTTCCCAGAGACTGTGCGGCTTCATGTACTGGTGTCCATCTTGGGTTCCTGCAGAGCATGGTGGGAGTCTTTTATGCCTTCAGGTCTCTGAGGTCCATCCCCCAGAGGGGTGTGGCTGAGTACATATAAGCCTGTGATCCCCACATGCTCTTTGCACTTGTGTCTTGTGTCTTTGTCTTGCTGCAGCTCTGTGTATACTCTCGTGACTCTTCTGGTATCTAACTCGGCTTGTGACTAGACCATTCTCTGTGTTTTCCTTTGATCTGACCTTCCGTTGCTGAACCCGGCCCGTGACCTGTGATTCTCTGTCTACTGTTCTGTACCGTTTTGTCACGTTGTTGTCGACCCGGCCTGCCTGACTATGCTATTGTCATTCTTACCAACTACACGCCATTGGCGGCGGCCATTACCGCAGCCGGGGTGTCTCGGGGGCTGCGACCTGGTTCCTGGCTGTGTCAAGTCCATCCCCACCATCAGGGGCCCTGGTGAAGGGCAGCCTGGGACTTAGACTACGCGCCCTGAGGGACTTCGGTCTGTTGGTGGTGGTTGTCGTCAGTCAGTGCGTTACCCTGCCACTAGGCCTACCTGTCCGTTCCACAGCCCTGCCCTGACAGTCACATATGTATCACAATTGGTCCTTGATTGAAACTCAAGTGACATAAGTTGCCATGACCATAATTAGTCGCTTGCAAAATAGTTTGTAAGCTATATAACAGTTCCATAGATTTAATAAAACTATTATAATCATAATAATCAGTAGAGGGTGAACCAGAAAATCTAGAACCTTAGTAGCTGAAGGGAAATAGCCTAGAAACACATCCCACCAGTGATGGGAAGTAGCTTCCGCTATACTAGACCCCACTTTTATCAATTTTCCACCTACTATGGTCGCAGTCACAATGTGTTGTGCAATCTTCTTATTTAAATATTTGATATGTTGGACTTCTATTGATTCATTCATTAATTGTTTCAAAACCGTTAAATTGAACTCCCAATTGGGGATCTCCAATGAAAAACCCTTCCAATATTCTTGGACTGGTTCTTCCTTGTCACCCTGTAATATAAAGGTTTCATTGTGCCAAATTAAAGAAGACAGGTTACTAACACAGCCTGAGAAGGGAACTTTCATTCCCTTTACCACAGGAGTGTTAGTCACCATACACACAGTTTGCGGAGCTATTTCAATCATCATCTCATAGGAAATAGGTAAGATGGTCCATTTACATATATTTACAGTGTTCTGTAACAAACATGGCTCATATACAGAAGACTGTAGCTTACAGATTTTTCCCTCTAAAGTATCGCAAAAAGAAAGATCATGAGTCTTATTATCATTATCTACATGGGTGCCATATAATTCTGGGCTCCAATAATGTTGAGCGCCAGGCGCACCAATAATCAAAGGCATCACAACAAATTTACACAATATAGTTGATTTAGTAATATTATATATTATTATTGTCCCAGGGCAGGTAGTATCATTACAAATCATCTTTTGAGCATCCAAGTGTATCCACATATCTATGGGGACATTCTTGTTGAACACAGTCCTCCATACTAATTCATTTCCGGTCATCAACGTAGCCTGCATATTAACTTTTTGTTGTTGCTCATACATGGTTTGCAATGTACACACCGTCCAGATAATAAATCTTGCAACATTAGTGTCAAAACCTTTTGCAAAATTATTTGAAGCATTTGTTAAATGAAGCATCATGTTATCAACTCCAGCAGCTATACTAACTGGATAAAATATAGTAGGCATCCATTTAGAAAAATAGTACTTGGTTTAGTCTTTGCGGTACAGTTTTTTGTTACGACCTCCTATCTGCAGCTGACAAATAAATGAAGCTTGCTTCCTGTTGGCAACAGCAAATGCTAACTTCAGAGATTACATTTATCACACCTTCATTTCCATGAACCGCATATGTTGGCTTGTAACCCTCTATCGGAGCTCCTGTCCATACAGTACCATTGAAGGTTATATTTAGAATGAGGCAGGGCTGATTAGCTGGGCATATAAAATCATCTTGAGTTCTATTCGTACGCATGGTTTTCCAACCCCAGCTCATTCTGGCATTGCCTGTATCTGTTACTTAAACTCCCGGAGTCCACGCTCCGACCTCTAATTCGACCAACTACACGATACCAAGGATTCCAAAACTGAAGGTAAGTACATTGTTGCTCTGTGAAAGACAATACAGTATGAATCATTCTCGCAAGTAACATTTTTCTTGTGGGACATATTCCCACTTTTCTCTACCTGGTTTCATGATCAGTAGGGTGGGATCCTTACCTACAGCTATTACTTCTGCAGGTTCTGGGGGACCAAATGCCCCCTGTACCCAAATTTTAGCCCCTACATTAACTGTGTTAGTGGAACCAAAACCTTGATCTCCTCTCACTGTCAATGTTGTGGGGGCCTCTCCCTCTTTAATGTTAGCAATATATAAAGAAATCAAAAGTAACTGAGCTACTTGGTCCTGGGCTGTTAAAATCATAGCTTCAGTGCTAAGGTTAATTATCACTACTTTGATTTCTCCCTGGTAATCAGCATCTATTACCCCTCCCAGAACTACAGCTCCACGGACCGCCATACTTGATATAGTTGCTAATTGGCCATAATGTCCCAGAGGAATCTGACAGCCTATACCTGTTGAGATTATTCTTACCTTTCCTGGTGGGATCACCATGGTCTCAATGGAATATAGGTCCAATCCAGCTGCCTCTGGAGATGCCCTAAGAGGTGTTTTAGCTTTCTCATGCATTTTCCAGTATATCAGGGTTTCTATTTTTACTGCATTAATGGTCAAATTAGGTGTCAGCATTCTCATTAGAGGAGTGGTAGAATCTGTCACAGGTCTATTGTTAATTATCTGTAAGACCTCTGACAGATTATTTCGCCATTGACCATATGCATCAGACCCTTGCAACTTCTTTAAAGTGGATTTTAGTATACCATTCATTCGCTCCACCAACCCAGCTGATTGAGGGTAGTAGGGAATGTAGTACACCCATTCAATGTTATGCTGCATGGCATAATCTTTTACCTGTTGTCCTGTGAAGTGGGAACCATTGTCTGTCTGAATTTGTAAAGGAGTACCATAATATTGGGTTATCACTTCTGTAGTCCTCAAAGTACTCCATTGAGTAGCAGCTTTGCAGGGGAACCCTACTAGATAACCTGAGTAAGTATCTACCATCGTGCAAATATACTTACATCCCCTGCTTGCTGGGAGAGGTCCGATGAAATCCATCTGTCATATCTGACCTGGCAACTTACCTCTTCCAATGTGTCCCATTACTGTGTGTGGGACTTCTCTTTTCTGTACATGTTGACATACTGGACACTTAAGGATGATGGATTTAATTATGTCCATAGTTAATGGTATCCCCACCTGTAAGTGGCCTTTTCTCCAAGATGTCCACTTTTTTGGTGAGCCCAAAGGGTTGTGCCCTGCAGCCATGTTTCCTGAATTTCAGCTTCTCTTTCTGCATTGGATGTTTTGGATATGGCTGCAGCAGTGTCTGCTTGAGAATTAAGCAAACGTTCTAATGAGTCAAGAAGGACATGAGCATCCACATTATAAACAGTTACAGTCATGTTTTGAACAAAACTTTCAATGTCCTGCCACACATCTTTTCCCCACACTTCCTTACTATGTATCTTTCTCAACAGCATACACATCCGTTCCATCCTTATTAAACACTTCTCTTATTCTTATCAATATAGTTAAAATCCGGGTTCTTTAAAGACATTTTACAAATGCACATGCAGTTTAGCAACAACATAAATACGAATGTTAGTAAAAAACAACAAAATCAGCATATCTATTTTCTTAAAACATCAAGCTTGTAAAAACATTTACCAGGTCTCTATGGTTCTCTATGACTTCATAGCAGTCTGGGGTCTCAACAGATATGTTATGTATTTATATACAACACTCATAGTCAGTAGTAGACTCACACAACTCGGTCAATGCTATACCCATTTGTTCTATTTTCATTTCATTCATGAGCACCTGTTGCCTATGTTTTTAGTGCCGGCTTCAGTTTTAATTCTCCTACATAGCTTAACACAAAAATCCTTGTCTAATGATGCATCAAAATCATAACATTTTATCCATTTACTAAGACATTTCACATTTTTTTTTCTTTTCTTGCTTTGGGCAAGATCTCTCTGTGCCCCTTATTCCACTGTATCCCCAGTAATTTCACTACCTGAGACGGACCTTGTATTTTGGCCGGATGGATTTCCCAGCAATTGGTCCTCCAGGGCAATCATCCCAATCATTGCTAGATGAAGAATCCCACACATCAGCATCCCACTTATCTGGATTCCAATCAACTGTGACTGCTGCTATTGCCCAATGGACTTTTCCATGGTTCACCCTTCCCCTTTGTTTCCTATACTTATTTTGGGCCACTTTTACTGCTGCTATCTCGGCTATATTTTGATAATGTTCTAATTTATCTTTCAACAATTTTTGCCCACATTGCAGAAGAACAATTTTACCTTCTTGTTCTATGGTCTTCTGCTCTAGTTGATGGTAATCCTTCATTACCTGATGTCATTTCTTATGAATCTTCCTGTATGCAGTTAGCAAAATCCAACTGCGTCTGCCGAAAGCTACTACATCACCTGCCTTGGCAGGGATCCCCTGAAGTACATTTACAACATCAAGGGGTTCGATACCTTTTAAACCTAAAGCTACTGCATCACCTGCCTTGGCAGGGACCCCCTTGAGTACATTTACAACATCAAGGGGTTCGATACCTACTATCCCACGATTCTGTACACCCTGCACCTGACAATTCCTGTGCTAAAATATCATATGGAGCCTCGGTCCAGCCGGGAATCTCCACTTTAACCTCCTTATTTTCTCGTTTAAACATATTAGGTTCGTTAGAATGCCAGGTATATAAAAATATGCACAGAGGTTTCCCTATGCCTGAGGACCAATGTGTAAATCTTACTTTTTTAAACAACCTTTCTTAATAGGAGGTATATCTACCTGGCATCCTGCCGACTACGCCAATTTATGTTTTGCCTCAAAACAAAGTGTTTTTAACACTACTACAATCGCTCACTAATACACGGATTAGGCTTAATAAATATTAAAGCAAAACATGATTTATTGAATAAGTTCTGTTAGTATAATAACATAAGAATTGTCAGAATTGCAAATCATATTTAGATCATATTATAGCAAGAATAAAACATCAATACATCTCCGGATATTGTAGCATCACCCGTTGCCCAACGATTGGGGGACTCAGCAATCAGCAAAGGGAAAATGCGGGAAATCACCGCAAGGCACGTCAACGAGTCCCGAATTCCCCTAGAATACCCCGTCTTTTATATACATAATTTGCAGTGTCCTTGTCTACTGCCATGCGCAGTAGACTCTGTGTAACTATTGTGACTATTAACCTTGACTTGTTCGACTATATATCTTGTAACTATAAATCCTTGACTGATTGTGACTGCACATCTGGTAACTATGAATCATAGATCTAGCCTTGATAGATTTTAACAATGTCCTTGTCTTATTATTCTAAACTCTAGTTACCTCTTCACTGATATATCCTACTAAAATTATGGCAATTGAGTGTCAGTCATCCTTCACACATACATTCTATACACCAATGTCACATATGTATCACACCTGTCCCTTTTGAACTGGGATTCTGTAGCTAATTTTAGCTCACGGCTTAATAATCAGCATAGGCTAGAGCAGCCTTTCTCAAATTTTTCAACACAGAGGAACCCTTGAAATAACTTTCCTGTCTCAGGGAACCCGTACTAAAAAATTACTATATCTTGAACTCATGGTACATTAGTGTGATGGTCAGTGGGAAGAATGCTCCTTACACTTGTGGTCATCAGGAAGAATTATCCCCTTACGGATAGCTGAAAATATCAATGGTGTCAGTAGAATCTGAGAAGCAGAAATTTCTCATTTCTCAAGGGACCCCTAGCAACCTCTGGAGGAACCCTGGTTGAGAAACCCTGGGCTAGAGCCAGGTTAGGCATCCGACAGCCACTTCTGGTAGTTCATTAATGTAGCTGCTTAATGCCCAGTTGAAGTCTTGGTTTTTATTATTTATCTGCAATCAGGCTGTGTAACAAGTAAAGTATATTACAATTCTAAAAAATAATGCAGTATGGCATCCCACTGCAGAGTGCTCCAATTAAAAAAGCTTCTCAGGGAGCATGAATGCTGTTGTTTGGAATAATATACAGGGGCTGTGACATATTGCTCAATAACTAGTCCTCTGCACTCTAGTATTAAAAACAAATGCATATTAGCATAAAAAAATAAATGTCATTATCTTTACTTGGTATACAACTTGACTGCATAACAGTATTAATAATCATGGCATTGATTGGGTTTTAAAAGTAAACTCTTGCCCTGTTAGACTGATATATTTTATATATTGGAAAATTAAATACTCACCTAACATATTTTTCCTTGTTTGGTGCTTATCCATACATATGGTTGCTTCCAAGCCCAATGCAAACCAAAAGGATCAATTGTAGCATTATAAAACATTGGTCTAATAGCTCCCTCTTCGGTCTCGTACAAAGATACAAAATGTGGAGGAAAATAAATGCTGCCTTGGATAGGCACCACAAAAGGAAATTTATCTTTATTTTTTGATTTTCCAGTTTCCTGGAGCCTATATAGCAGGATACATACAGTTAATGACTTGGAATGTGTACCAAAGAAATATTTATTAAATTATGCAACAGAGCAATGGCTTTTTTAGATGGGGGCAGGGCAACAACCAAATGTATGCTGCCATATAGGCACTAGCAACAGAAAATCCACAAATATTACCTTAAATTTCAAAATGCATCCAGTCACATTTTTTGATAACTTAAATAATGATAATAATTAATAATGTCAGTAGTATTGTTATTATTATTTATCTTGTTTGCAATCATCATCATAGAATTCAGCCCATATATAAAACTGCCTTCAATTCCTATCTACCTGCCTCACTGCATCTGGTCTTTACAGAGCAGCAGGCCAGTCAGCTTGGTGCAAGGCCAAGCAATATGAAGTATCTGACAGAAGACTCAGTTCAATAAGCGTGATTTTTTTGTCCATAATTTTACCTGTTGTCGGCCACATGACCATTAGCTACAGCTTTCATTGGCTGTCAATGCTAAAAATAACAGCCATTATAAGAAATAATGATCACTATAGCTTAGTGAATTGTACTTACATGACCATAAGTTTGCTACACTTGCAGTTTTGTCATTGCCTACATATTTGCAACACTACATGTTTGAAGTGCTATTATTGGTTGTATCAGTTTTAAACATTAAGTATACTAAACCAAAGGTAGGTATATATCTACAAAATTTTTTTGAGTTAAAGTGGTATTAAACCTCAATCCAAAAATGTAATATATTGTAGCTTATAAATCAGTAGATGTAGTGGTTGTATTAGTTTTCCTTCTTTAGTATTTTCCCCCTCTCTGTTTTCACCTGGTGATCTGACCAGTAACACACCTAATGTATTAGAATGCCTACACTCTGGATGAATGAGCACAGGGGGTGATTTTGGACAGCAGCATTGTCAATCTGGTGGGAGGGGAGTGTTAGATGGACTAGCAGATTTAAATACAGTAACAAATTGAAGCCAAACTCCTGCTAATACTTGATCATCAGCAACAGCATACAGTTTTTTTTTTTACTTTTTTTTAAATATTTCCATTCAAGTCTTTTTAGCACATAATTATTTCTATACAAATA